CCATGGCAGGGGGGTTGGAACTAGATGATCTTTAAGGTCCTTCCAACCCTAACCATTCTATGATTCTATGATTTTGGGAGCTTTCCCCCTTAGAAGCAATTTTGTTGTGGTTGTCTCCCATCAAATACCACATAAATCCTTCCCTTTTCTCTGGATTCCTTAATTTTACCCTTCTCACTGAATTCTCCTAGATGCTCCTTCCACAATGAACAGGATCCTCCAGAGCTATTAGCATACACTTGTAACCGAGGACAAGCAGTTGCGTTACCTGGCACTATTCCTACTGGCCTACAGTAGCACATGGAGGATGCCCAAGAAGGTCCATTCCATAGCCATAATTTCAATGCCATTTGCAAACCTGGCAATGTGCTATCTAGTGCTCTACACAGCCAGTTCAGAAATGTGTTTGTTGGAACAATGAAACAGTTTTCCCAAAGTTCCTTCATCATCTTCTCTTTCTCTTTGCACAGTCCTAAAAGGAAAGAAGCTAAGCCTTCCCATGCCTGTTTGAAGAAGTTTCCACAGACAACGCAAAATCCCAAAGATGAAGCTCTTAAGATCACAGCTTTGCTTTCCTGGCCCTTTTTGACTCAGCTGAGTTTCACTCTAGTGCCAGCATAACAGTGAGGCCTGGAAAGCTGGTGTGCTTTTCATCTGTGTGACTTCCCCTCTTTATTGGAAAAAAAAAAAAAAAAAAATTCTTACTTGAATTTGGTATTAGTAAGTAATGCTGGTCAATACTGAAGTAGTGCAAATTATTCTCTCCCGGCTTTTCCCAGCATCTACCTCCAACAAATGCCTCCACCTTGACCTTGAGGCAGCACAAGGAGTACAAGGGAAACTGTCACTGCCTTTAGTCCTTCAGCCCTTTAACCAGTGCCTGTGGTAAAGCGAACATGGCACTGTGAAGTCTGATGCCATAAAAAAAGGCCACTGACCCATTTCACATGTGGCCACATCTGACAAAGCAGATGCTACAAACTATTACTTAAACTCTGCATGAACTAACATCCTCCTGAAAATTAACTCTAACTGACCCCCTCGTTCTCTTCAAGTCCCGTAACATTCAGGAAAACTAACTCCCTTTGAATGACATGAATGTCCCAATTTCACAGGTATCCAGACATCCTCCCCCATCATTTTCAGTGACAGCAGTTCCTCATATTCTACAAATGGGGATCATTTCAATTAAAATTCAGTGGGTTATTTCCAACTCCTTGAATTTGACTTTTTTTCAAGAACTGGGAAGAACGGGGCAAAGACTGTTTTACACTCCAGAAATAAAGACAAAGTTCACAATTTATTGACAACAGTGTTTTTATTTATACCTACAAAAGAAAACAAGATGGTATCAAAAGGACAATTTACAAACTAAGAATAGTAACATAGCTCTTAGTATCCTGTGTCTGAACATCACAGATCTATGAATCTCTCAATTCAAGTCTTCGTTAATACAACAGGAATGTGTTCAGAGACCAGCAGGTGTGTGAAACAAGATGCTGATCCCACACAAAGCCACTAACCCTTTCATTGTTCAGAGAAGTCCAAACAGTAAATTGTTTCAGGAAGTGGGAGGGGAGGAGACACCCAACTCATTTGACACTCCCACAAACTTTTACAGATTGAAAACAATGCAAACAATACTAGATGCTTATGCTTTATCAACAAGGGCCCTTCAGCTGGTATATGGAACAGAGCAGCGAGCACCAGGTGGGACAGGGGCAGCACATGCCACGGTGCGTTTATGCATTCAACAGTCTGGTTAACACTCTGAACTGAAACAAGATCCTGGACTTCAGCTGACCTCAATGGCAATAAAGCACTGCAAGACTTGGCATGGACGTTTACATGTGCACAAGTCCCCCCTCAAAAGAAGTGAAAGCTACAGCAGACCGTAAGGCAGCTTTGGCGGTCCAGAGACCCTTTTTAAAGCCAGTCAGTGAGATGTCCTACTCCTACACCCCTCAAACACATTTCTGCATTGAACTCACAAATTTAGGAAAGGAAAAAAAAGAAAAAAAAATAAGGCGCTCTAAATTTGCTTGTGACAGAGGCCAAAGACAAATCAGTGAAGTGCCTGGATAAACAAAATGTTTCTGCCTTTCAATTAACACAAGCAAAGGAACTTCCTGTCCAAGCACTGAAATTAGAAGATGGGACGGGAACCAAAGTTCTGGAAGATCTCTCCCTTTTCCCTCTGTGTCAGCAACCTACCTGTGTACTGCACACAAAAAAATGTGCATTCATGCCCCAAAATTTTACTCTGGAAAGAAATTAAATTTAAAAAGAAATCACTTCTGTATAAGCAAGCTCTTTTCCTGGGCTATAAGAAGTTCCACTCTGCTACAGAAGGAGTGGGCTGCCTTGTTCATCCATATGCAAGAACACCAACAGGAAAAAAAAACACAAACCCAAAACCCTGCACTCTCATAATGCAAAGATTATGCCTCACAAATCAGGAGATGTATCCGTTCTTTCGTCATATTATCAGATCAAGAGCAGCCAACTCCTGTTATCATCTACTGTCTCTGAACCGTCTGGTATTAGAAAGAACAAGTCAACAACATGCTTTACTAAAGGGGAAACCCCCACACACCCACCTTAGCCTGTAAAATAAACAAGTTTTATTTATGTATTTACTAAAATTTCACTCTTCTAACATTTTCTAAAATGCTACCTACCTGCAAGAGCTCAGCTCAAAGGGACCAATGGAGCAGGGAAATGTACTCAAAAGCCAGGAAAAGCAATAGTCAGAGCAAGGTACAAAAGAAATAAAGCTTCAGAATCAAGACGCACTAACCAGCTCACGGCTTACCTCATGAAAAGGAGATTCCAGGTAATCTCCTCTTCCTCCCTTCCTCCCCTTGCCCTCCCCCCCCACTCCCCAGCCCACCCTATTCAAACCTCTTAGATTTAAGCATGGAAAACTCTGTCACATTTTACTCAGCATAGTGGTATTCAGAACATTCCCCATGGCAAGAGGCAGTTTGTGCGTGAAGAAAAAACTATCTAGATATGCTGTTCATCATCTCAGTTCTGTTTAGTTTCTCGGCTCTCAAATAAGACTTCTCTCAATAAACCCAACAATAGGAATTTGAGAGCAGAAACTAATTTAAGGATAACCAGGCTCCACGTGCTTGTGATGCTGCAATTTAACAAAAAAAAAAAGAACTTACTTGGCTAAGTATTACAACAGCGGTACCAATAGCGACTATCTGGTTTTCCGGTATCAAATCCAAGACAGGTTTGGTCTCTGACACTGGGGTTTTAATCCCAACTTCCCTACTGCAGACTGCTACAGGTATCAGAAGGTTGGGTCCACTGCTTCCAGAGCTGCAGGAAACGCCAACAACGTACCTGGGGCATTACTCTAAACACCGCTCAGCTCAGACAAATGAGCAGAGTTTTCCTATAGAAAGCCACCTACGACAGATTACAAGCAATAATAGTGAGCTATTTAAAAAAAAAATAAAATTAAGATTAGGAGAAGTGAGCATTGCTCCCTTGCATTTATCATTTTAAATGAAGTGCTTTTTGGCTCCCCAAAGTTTCCCACCTCTCTTGATACTTCCTGAAATTAAGTTAACATGTTACAGAATAGAAACTTCCTCCCCTCAAAAGCAAGTTTTCACACAAACCTTAGACACCCAAGATGACTGAGCTGGGACCTATCTGCCTTATATCCATTTATTTTAGAGAAAATAAAATTTCCAATTTCCTCAACATGCAAGACAAAAAATAATAAATTTTCCAGTCAACTATATATATCTGTTAAAAAAAAAAAAAAGAAAAGAAAAAGAGGACAGGGTCAGTAATGTGGACCGGGGGCCATTTTTAATGGGCTCGAGGGATTTAAATGGTGAATTCTAAGTCTAACCTGCATGAGAGACATCACAATGGGAAATAAGAGAAAGAAAAGGTTCTTTTAAATGCAAGAGGTCTACACTGGTCACCAGCAGGTGAGTGG